TGATGAACTTGAAGCTTCAGATCCAAAATGACTCTGGTACGCTTCAGCTGTTCCAATTTCTTTTAATACACAATCATGGAGCTGATAAGTGGAACAGCATTTGCCTACTCTTATCAGGCCGAAATTTATTGTCAAGATAGCATTTAAGAGGTCAAATTTCATCCTGTTTTTTATGTTAGATTTAAAAAATTCACTACAGATGAAAAACATCTAGAAAAACATCTACCATCTAAACGTCAAAAACGCCATCTAAATACAATGGAAAACATCTAAATCTGGATGTAAAATATCCAAAGTGGCATCACTGGTCATGTATATTTTTTGATGTTGTCATTTCATGTTCTTCTTTGCCCTTCTCTTTTCTACTACCCCTCGCAGTTTGGGTCAGTCATTTTTCAGTCAATTCTATGTGTGGACATGTGCGCGAGTTGTTCTAGTTCTGTGGACTGTATTATGTGACAGTTTTAGCAATGTTTTATTTTGTGAAGCTCGGGTCACTGTAGTGGATCACGAGTTAGATTTCAGAATTCTGTTCAGTGTTATTTTAGAATAGACTTGTGTCGGCCATGTTTATGGGGTCAGCACGGTTTCTGCTATGTGGCATGCTGGTTGACGGGGTCTTTAAGTGTACATAATGTGCTGGGAAGCTTTGAAGGTATTGACCAGTTTGGAGTTGTGATGAGGAAATATCGGGATGCTGGTCGGCGAATAAGAGGCTGGACAGTGATATGGCTGGGGTAGCAGACGGGAGGTCTAAATTCTTTTCACCAAGTGAGCCCTTCAGGGGATAGGTCTTTTAGAGGAAGAACCGCCAGAGGATTGACATTGCACATCACATAGGCCTATTTGCGCTGTGGGGTATGAGTCGCCCTTAGCAACATCCTGTACATAGTTCCCTGGGGCGTATTGTCAATGTCTGGAGAAACTGCCAGTGTGAGTATCTCGCAGGCAATAGTAGACTTGACAGTGAGTTATCGGTTACCACTTCATCGTCGAGGGAGTCATCGTGGCCGAGCGGCTAGACGCTCGCCGCGGATCGGAAGGTCGTGGGTTCGCCCCCTGATAGAGCGCGAGGCATACGACGTGACCACTTTGCCAGGGAGACCTCCAGAAAAAGAACTTTCTGTCAAGGAGGCGCCGTATGCAATTTTGTTTTAATGGCTATTAATCTTTGCTTCGGTTGACGGCTTCACAAAAGGCAAACATGAAGGGCATTACACAAAAACGACAATTCAACGTTTCGATCAAAATACTATTGCTTCTGCTACTATTACTACTATTACTACTCCTACTACAGCGAAGATTGCCACCACTACCACATCTAATACCACCACCGCCTCTATTACTACTATTGCACTGCCGCCGCCACCACCAGTAATTGAACATGTCGACTAAAATACTAAAAATGGTGAAACTATGGGGGTGACTGCAGTCAAGCTAATACAATGAATTCCAGAGAAATTTGACTAAAAAGCTCAACAAAATGGGAAAGAGGAAAACGTGCACAAAACAACACAACGTAACGTTTCGGCCAGGCAGCTTTTTTCAAACACAAGTGGACTACACAAACGAGGAATGGAGAGTATGTAGATCTCTAAGGGGTGACGTGAGCGACGTTTAAAAAATGTGATGCGGAATAAATGAAATAAAATAAAATAAACGATGGCTAAAAAATATAGTCACAATACTGGGAATAAAAGAAATGCAAGTGTTAATGATACATAAAATGATATTGATAAGAAATAGAATATGGTAATAATATGAAATAAAATAATTAACATTTAAAATGTGATAAGATTATAACTATTTAGATGAAGGTATGTTGGATATTGATACCTCTTGGACTAAGAACGCCAAGGCTGTGGATAAGGCGATTTTCCAAAGCGAGGCGGGTAGTATGATCACCAGAGCAAGATTTTAATGCTGTGACAGATATGTCATCTTTACCGCTGTGGTCAGGGCTATTAAAATTAAGAGGGATTGGTTCGATGCAGCATGGCATACATTGGGGAGACTGGCAGGAAGCTAGCTGATCGTTTCCGGGAACACCTCTCTGATATCGACAAGAAGACACTTAAACCAATCCCTCTTCATTTTAATAGCCCTGACCACAGCGGTAAAGATGACATATCTGTCACAGCATTGGAACTGAGCCTCGAGAGGCAGGGGGTAAGAAGTGTTGGTGTTGTGGGTAGTGGGTTCCCCCCCCCCCCCCCCCTTACTTCACCCTAGGTCTAGTGAATATCTGTTCACGAAAGGAGCGTCCATTGTGGTGTCAGCCTCTTGACCTAGCAAAACCTCTCTTACCTCAAGACCATTGTGCGTGGCGAAGAGTCACAGCCTCCCCGAGGTAGTCCCGGTAACTGGGGGTGCGAATCCCCAGGCAAAACACAATGGATCTAGAGGAGCAAACCTCGATAATAAACCCGGTGCACCACACCGTACTGCCCCCTGTGGGAGGGAAGGAACCAGAGGTGTGCTGAACAGTCTTAGGAATGGAAACAAGTATGCTAACCCCCCTGAATACCGGAAACTATCGTGAAGGCACAGGGACTCAGGACGTGTGACGATCCAGTTGCCCCAACTACTCATGCTTAGGCCATGCTTAGAGACATGAAGAGCTCAGCGAAACCTGCAGGCAATCTGGTGGCGGGGAATGAGAACACTGTGAGCCCCACCTTAGCTACGTGTTAAAGGGAAAGGCAGAAACACAACCCATATTTCCTTTAGAACTGTACAGGGCATTTCTAGCTGCTGCCCGGGGAGGTAGGTAATCCACAGACACCCCAGCACCACAATGCCATGAATATATATGTCACAGCATTAAAATCTTGCTCTTGTATGTATGTATGTATGTATGTATGTATGTATGTATGTATGTATGTATGTATGTATGTATGTATGTATGTATGTATGTATGTATGTATGTATGTATGTATGTATGTATGTATGTATGTATGTATGTATGTATGTATGTATGTATGTATGTATGTATGTATGTATGTATGTATGTATGTATGTATGTATGTATGTATGTATGTATGTATGTATGTATGTATGTATGTATGTATGTATGTATGTATGTATGTATGTATGTATGTATGTATGTATGTATGTATGTATGTATGTATGTATATGTATGTATGTATGTATGTATGTATGTATGTATGTATGTATGTATGTATGTATGTATGTATGTATGTATGTATGTATGTATGTATGTATGTATGTATGTATGTATGTATGTATGCATGCATGCATGCATGCATGCATGCATGCATGCATGCATGCATGCATGCATGCATGCATGCATGCATGCATGCATGCATGCATGTATGTATGTATGTATGTATGTATGTATGTATGTATGTATGTATGTATGTATGTATGTATGTATGTATGTATGTATGTATGTATGTATGTATGTATGTATGTATGTATGTATGTATGTATGTATGTATGTATGTATGTATGTATGTATGTATGTATGTATGTATGTATGTATGTATGTATGTATGTATGTATGTATGTATGTATGTATGTGTGTATTATGTATGCGTGTGTGCGTGCCAGCGTGCGTATGTGCGTGCTTGTGTGTTTTTTGTGTGTATGAATGTAAGACTGGCCTGTGTGTCTAATTTGTAACTATTTGAAAATAATGTTCGTTCTTTCGTTCAATTACTGGGGCCAGTTAGAAACAAAGAATAGTAATATATTTGTTGTTTGTTTTTTCGCGTTCACCGACTGTAACACCTAATAGGAAATTTATGTTTGTTAGTCCATTTCTATGCTCTTTCTTTATTTAAGGACCTGAGGTTTACTGTGCACCCGTTTGACAAATCTGACCTAAGTGAATGCAGACTGTTGCTTTCTTGCCTCCGACGTCGAAGGAATCCACTAATTAGTCGACATTTAGGACATGCTTGTTGGCCCTCGGGGGGGGGGGGGGGGGACAGTGGATCTATTCTAGTTCTCTGCCAAAGTGGAACCCTGGAACCTCCACGCGTGGTTGTGGCGGGGGTGAGGGGCGGGTGGTAAAAATGTCACAAAACCTTTTTTTTTCTAGTGGAAAAAAGAGGTGTTGGTACTCACCACCAAGAATATTTGGACTACTTAAACACATTGATGGGATGAGACAACAACAATGACCTCATCCGCGATTCTGAGGATCATGTTTGTTTGTTTATGCAACTGATTAACATCATGGCACATGGGCAGTAACCCATAAGTGCTCAGTTTTACTTCTGACTCAAGCCTGAGTCCGAGGGATCTCAGCGCAGTGCATGAGCTCCGTAGCACTTATGAGGATCCCGAAATACTTTAGGTAGAATTTTAACTCCAACTTTGTCCGGGCAGGGTCGTTAGGCTACTCTTTTTCGATTTCCCAACTGTTAAGGGATTTTCTTTTTTTTTTTTACGTGCGCAAAAATATACACGAGCATAAGGTAACCAAGTTACAGCTTAGGGCATCATATTCTGAAGAGGCCTCAGAAATGGTTATTTTTTTTTTTCACGAATACAATTTTCTTTTTATATAATTTAAATGCAATTTTCTTTGAATGCATTTTAAATTTGTCCTCCCCCCCCCCCCCCCCCCCCCCCCCCCCCCCCCCCCCCCCTTTCCCAAATTTTCTAATTTCATTTAAATTACTTTATGTGTATATTATTTCAGGTTTTCATTCATTCTAGCTGACGAGATAGCTGGTGTGATTTAAAATGATAATGACCTAAGGGCTAAATATATTTTAGTCTCATCGTAATTAAAACTGACCCTGCAGCCAGTGAACTCAAAGGAAAAAAGAAGTTGATATCTATGCTTCATAATGGAACCGGCGACCAGAGAAAGAAAAAAAAAGGGGTTAGGGGTAGGGGGGGGGGGTGTTACAGTACTTAATCAGTAGTCGACAGTCTGCAGCAGTAGAAAATCATTATTCTGCGCGTTACTGCTCTGCCAAGGCCAATGACATTTGGCCCAGGAAAACAAGATTTCTGCTACAGAAATGGCTTCCACATCGCAGAAGCCGAAGAAGGGCATTTTAAAACACTCTGGGAGCGTGGACCACGGGTAAGTTATATCCAGCTGCGCCATATTTTACTTAAATAAAGTATGTGTTTAGATATGCCTTGCTGTGGAAGCTTCTTGATGCTAGAGTATTTTCTCGTCCTTCAGTTTTCAAAGGGCGGGTGAATTTTAATTTTTTATTCTGTGTCACTGTGTATTATCTTGAAGAAGATGATGGACACGCTGAACATTAAGTAAATGACATATTGAGAATGCGAAGGAGTAGACCGGTAGAGTTAGTTTAAAATGGAAGTAATATTTTTGTCAAGTGGGGTGACATGCAAACATCTGTATACGTTCAGTATTTTATTTATAGACAATTTATTGGTATAATCAATTCCACGCAGAAATTTCCTCATTTTTTCTTTTACATTTTATTTTACGTGAAGACACCCCGATTTATTTATAAGACGACTCAAAAATAAATAAATATTGTTAAAGTTAAACACATGTGTTTGGATTTATTATTATCTACTCTACTCGGTGCTGTCTGACTTCTTTCGTCCTATGGTTGTTTTAGGTTTTCTGGGACTGCTTATTCGTAATTTAATTAATTTGAGGTGTGAAGTTTGTGTTTTGTTGAATGTCCCAGTTATTTGACATAGAAAATGTTAAATTCTGTTGTTTTGTCTTCTACATTCACACCTAACAGGGATTTGTTACATTGTGGAATACAGCTGGACTGTGATATCTGATATATGAGTTTCAACCCAGCTTATCCGATTCTAGCAAATCTGGTGGAAAGTTTTGGATATTAGCTGTGTTCGTCCACCTCCAGACTTTTATCTTGTTCTAGAACTTGACTAGAACCTCATCCCTGTTACAGATCTGGCTTATTTATGTGCTGACTCAGGGTCTTTGCCTCTCAGGCAGATGTTCTCGGACTTTAAAGGATGCCTCTAATCTGTTAACTCTTACAACATGCTTGTTGGTGATACAGTGGTCTCCCTCCCGCCCACAGGGCACTAGAACCCATGCAGAATTAATTAATTTATTTATTGTCCGGCTATCCTCTGAATAACGGGCACTAAAGATGGCGGCCACAAAATATCATTTCGAGCCTCAGTCACGTGTCAATTCCCCACTTCCGGCGACTTAATTTGCGGTTTTCCAGTGACTACCGCCACCGCCCCGAGTCCCCCACACCGCATGAATGGCATGGATTGGGGCTAAACTAGATGGCTAGGACTCACGAGCAGCAGCTTCCGCATCTCCTACATGAGCGGCGTGGGGGACTCGGGGCGGTGGCGGTAGTCGCCGGAAAATCGCAAATTAAGTCGCCGGAAGTGCGGAATTGACACGTGGCTGAGGCTCGTAAGGATATTTTGCGGCCGCCATCTTTAGTGCCCATTATTCGGCGGATAGCCCATTGTCCTATTGTGCCATCAAATGTCACAGGGCTTGCATATCCATTTTTCCATTCCATTCTATCCTGTGCAATCACTTCAGTGTTTTGGATGGAATCCAGTGAGTACCTTTGGCCTCTCTCATCAACGTTTGATTTCTGGTTTCTCTTGGATGTCCTCATTTTCCTTTATCCCTCTGTTTCCCATTTCAATGCCTGTTTGTTAATTCTCAGCTGGTTTCTTCTCATGATATGTCCAATATAGCGCCATCATCTCTGTCTTGTAACCTTTGATACCAGTGGTTGCTCGGGCATTTCTCTTATTTTTTTACCCCTTTGAATTCACTCCATTTTATGTTCAAAATTATCCTGAGGCATTTGTTTTCAAATACATTTAACTTTTATTCCATATCTTTAGTAAATCCTTCTTCTTCTTTGCGTTCAGTTTCAAGTGCTTAGATGAGACCATCAAGTGGGTTGCCTCTATGAACTCACATGTCAGTAGCAGGTCCTTCATGGTTTCCCATAGCTTGCACACTTTGCTCTTGAGGCCAAGTGTCTTTTCGAAGTTGTAGGTAGAGTGGGCAGGTCAAAATGTGCTCAGGTGAACACCTCCTTTAAATTCATCCCATTTTATGTTCATCGCTTTCCTGAGGTGTTTGTTTTTGAATACATTGAACTTTTATTCCAAATCTTTAGTAATTCCATAATTAGTCACCTTGTTTTACATTCTTAGTAACGGGTAGTTTGTCTGTTGTTTTGTTTCCACATGGCCGTCACCCACACATGTCGTGATTGTAACTAACTCACAGAGCATGTTGAGAAAATTGAAAACAGGCATGCTTCATGCAGAGTGGCAAGCATCACTTCAGAGGTGCCAGGTAGTTAGCATCCTTTGGAAATTTTATCCAGGTTATGCTGGTGTGTTGGCAAATGAGCAGACAGATAGGTTGGCAGGCTATGCACCACTAGGTGATGAATTGATGTATGACAAGTTAGATATTGTGAGGGCCCTTTTGGGAATGGGTGAACAGTGCGGGGGCCCAGATAAATCATTACAGTTTAAGGAGAATGGTGCTGTGTGGAGTTACCAGGGGATCTGGCCAACAACACTCAGCGGAAGGATGAGACCGATATACAATCAGACGGTTACTGGTGCGATCGAATTGTAAGTCTTGCCTTGCTGCTGAAGGTGAGAACTGAGCACTTATGAAAGTGTCCCAGGTGCTGTGATGTCGATTCTTGATTCATCATTCCAGAACCTCATTCCTGTCACAGATCTGGCTTATTTGTGTGCATACTCAGAGTCTTTGCCTCTCTGGCAGATGTACTCGGACTTTAGTGGATGCCTCCAATTTGTAAACTCTTATGATATGCTTGTTGGTGATACAGTGGTTCCCCCCCCCCCCCCCCCCCAGGGCACTAGAACCCATGCAGAATAAATTCATTGTCCTATTGTGCCATTAAATGTCACGTAGGACTTGCATATCAATTTTCCCATTCCATTCTCAGTGGGAGAAGTCAGGATGTCACATATTAAACAGTGCATTAAAGGTTTTTCATTTCATATAACATCCAACCACTCAAGTATACAGAGGGCTTATAGCCGGTGCCTGTGCTCCATTGAGAGTTGAAAGAATAATTGAATAAATAATTTTACAAGGAAACATGTATGAAACACAGAAGTGGTTATATTTTAAACACAGAAGTATAGCAGTAATTGAGTGAAGTAGTCTTTACTTTTGGATACTTAGTAATTTCACATACTGAGATTGGAAATGGTCACAGGGGAAATCAGTTTTTTGTTGTTGCTCTGACCAAACATGAAAAAGTACAATAACACCTAAGATAATGTTTGGACACAAGGGAAATAGTCAGCCCTGCATGACACATTGCCTGTAGCAGAAGTTAATTAAATTCACTGCTCAAATTCTGTTTGCTTCGTCTAAAGTACTTTTCAGTGTCTCTTATATTTCTGTGATGTTCTGCGTGGTCGACCTCTGCTTCGGTTACTGCTGTTTTTTTTTATAGCATTTCTCTCTGTGGTGTCCTGTCTGATACCAATCTTGTTACATGGCCAAACCAGCTGACTTGTTGTCTACCTATAAAGGTCAGTATTAGTTCTGTGCCGACTCTCCTTCCTGATATCATCGGTCATAAGTCAATCTTTCCTCGTTACACCTAGCCTAGTACGTAAACATTTCATTTCTGTCTTGACTATTTTCCTTCTTTTCTGAAGACAGTATCCAAACACAAACACAGAAAAATATTTTAAAATGATTTGTTTTGGAATCACTTATGTTGTAAATATTCGATTGTATGTTAGTGATAGAGAAGATTAGAAAGTCTGCTTCTGTTGTCACTATCTGCTTTGTATCACTAGATATTAAAGTTTAACAGGAGATCTGACTTTTGTGTGTGCAGATTGTTGGTTTCTCACCTGTGAGACAGGTTAACTCCAGCTTTGAAGAAAAGACCCGTAATTAGTCATCTTAAAAGACAAACTTGTTGGGGGGGGGGGTTGTCTAACCCAACTCCCCCCCCCCCCCCCCCGCCCCCCCCCACTCCCCCCCCCCCCCCCCCCCCCCCCCCCCCCCCCCCCCCCCCCCCCCCCCCCCCCCCCCCATGATGGTCCCTGAGCACAAACTGAGATGATGTTTTCTGATTATATGTATTGTTTGTCTTCCAGTAAAAAGGAGATAGAATGGGACGAAATGAATATTCTAGCCACGTACCATCCTGTAGACAAAGATTACGGACACATGAAAGTTGATGAGCCTCCAACACCGTACAACAGGGCGGCAATTTCCGACAGCGAGGACGAGATAACACATGAAAGGAAAGGGAGCATTTCATCTTTGGGTGCTCTGGATCCTGATCAGTTAGCTAAAAGGTAGGACCTTGTCCGTCCACTTTTTGATTGGTTATGGAAAAGGTAGAAGCTTGTCTGTCCACTTTTTGATTAGTTACTGAAAAGGTAGGACCTTGTCCTACCCAGTTTGTGATCATTTAGCTAGTAAGGACCTAGTTCTATCCACTGTATGATCAGTTAGCTAAAAGATACCTAGTCTTGTCCAGTATATTAATTAGTTAAGAGGGACCTTGTCTCGTCCTTTATGTTGTCACTTAGCTATTTTTTTTATATGACCTTGTGTTCACTATGTGATCATTTAGCTAAAAGGGACCTTGTCTCGTCCACTATTTGATCAGTGAACTAAAAAGAACTTTGTCCTGTCCACTGTTTGATCAGTTAACTAAAAATTACCTTGTCTTGTCCACTATTTGATCAGTTAACTAAAAATTACCTTGTCTTGTCCACTATTTGATTAGTTAGCTAAAGGGGACCTTGTCTTGTCCACCAAATGGTCAGTTAACTGAAAGGGACCTTATCTGTTTCCTTGTAGCCATCCTTCAGTGTATTGCAGGCTGCTGCTGATGCAGCGGCCAGCATTCTTGCCTGCCAACCCTATGGACATAGGTTCATATCTCCACTGAAATGGAATTTTTCTAAAATACTGGCCTAGGCTTCCCAGTCGATCCAGCTGAAATGAGTGCCAGGAAATGTTCTGGAAAGTTAAGGGTGCAATGATTAAGATTACCTCAGCCACTGAGAAAAAATTAGCAGAGAATCACCTAACACAACTAAATGGGAAATAAATGGATTAAGAGAGCAAGGTTGTCCAAAAGAAACCCTAAAAAGAATATTGATGACAAAGGCAAAAAGTGCTCGACTGGATTCCATCCATGATATTAAAGGGATTACACAGGATAGAACGAATAGGGAATAGTCTGTTAGCCTGGTGTGACATTTAATGGCACAACAGGGTGGTGGTGATGATGATGATATATATAGTATTCTGTACTTGAAGACAACTCATCACAAACATTGGAGAGAGACAGTCCAAATTTTTTTTTTTGGGGGGGGGGGGGGGGGGGGTCATTTATTTTAAGAAAGATACTGGAACATGTGACCACTGGAAAGATTCTTGGAGTGAGAGAGAGGAAAACAAAAGAGGATGATTTTGAACAGCCTTTTGTCATGACATGAAAGGGTGTCAGGACATGAAAGGGAAAGAGTCAGGACATGAGTGCCAAGACATGAAAGGGAGTCAGGACATGAGTGCCAAAACATGAAAGGGAGTCAGGACATGAGTGCCAAGACATGAAAGGGAGTCAGGACATGAGTGCCAAAACATGAAAGGGAGTCAGGACATGAGTGCCAAAACATGAAAGGGAGTCAGGACATGAGTGCCAAAACATGAAAGGGAGTCAGAACATGAGTGCTAAGACATGAAAGGGAGTCAGAACATGAGTGCTAAGACATGAAAGGGAGTCAGGACATGAGTGCCAAGACATGAAAGGGAGTCAGGACATGAGTGCTAAGACATGAAAGGGAGTCAGGACATGAGTGCCAAAACATGTAAGGGAGTCAGGACATGAGTGCCAAGACATGAAAGGGAGTCAGGACATAAAAGGATGTCAGAACATGAGTGCTAAGACATGAAAGGGAGTCAGGACATGAGTGCTAAGACATGAAAGGGAGTCAGGACATAAAAGGATATCAGAACATGAGTGCTAAGACATGAAAGGGAGTCAGGACATGAGTGCTAAGACATGAAAGGGAGTAAGGACATAAAAGAATGTCAGAACATGAGTGCCAAGACATGAAAGGGAGTCAGAACATGAGTTCTAAGACATGAAAGGGAGTCAGGACATGAGTGCCAAGACATGAAAGGGAGTCAGGACATGAGTGCCAAGACATGAGAGGGATTCAGGACATGAGTGCCAAGACATGAAAGGGAGTCAGGACATGAGTGCTAAGACATGAAAGGGAGTCAGGACATGAGTGCCAAGACATGAAAGGGAGTCAGGACATGAGTGCCAAGACATGAAAGGGAGTCAGGACATGAGTGCCAAGACATGAAAGGGAGTCAGGACATGAGTGCTAAGACATGAAAGGGAGTCAGGACATGAGTGCTAAGACATGAAAGGGAGTTAGGACATGAGTGCTAAGACATGAAAGGGAGTCAGGACATGAGTGCTAAGACATGAAAGGGAGTCAGGACATGAGTGCCAAGACATGAAAGGGAGTCAGGACATGAGTGCCAAGACATGAAAGGGAGTCAGGACATGAGTGCCAAGACATGAAAGGGAGTCAGGACATGAGTGCTAAGACATGAAAGGGAGTCAGGACATGAGTGCCAAGACATGAAAGGGAGTCAGGACATGAGTGCCAAGACATGAAAGGGAGTCAGGACATGAGTGCTAAGACATGAAAGGGAGTCAGGACATGAGTGCTAAGACATGAATGGGAGTCAGGACATGAGTGCTAAGACATGAAAGGGAGTCAGGACATGATTGTCAGGACATGAAAGGAAAGGGAGCATTTCATCTTTGGGTGCTTTGGATCCTGATCAGTTAGCTAAAAGGTAGGACCTTGTATAATTATCAGGACATGAGTGCCAAGACATGAAAGGGAGTCAAGATATGAGAGTCAGGACCTGAGTGTCAGGTCATGAAAGGGGGGGGGGGGGTCCAGGACATGAAAGGTGAGGTCAGGACATGAGGGACAGGAAAGGGAATCAGGACATAAAAGGGGAGTCAGGAAATGAGGGACAGGAAAGGGGTTCAGGACATTGATGATCTTGATGATGGTACCATTTTATAACATCTTCTGAACTAAGAAGCAGCTGATAAACGCCCTACTCCTACCAACTTTGTGCTGTCAGTGCCAGACACGGACAGTCCCAGATAAACATAAACTCAAAATGACAACCTGTGAGATGAGATGGATAAGAAATGTAGCAGGAAAAACAGTCAGTCACAAATGAAGAACTAACAACAATTGTAGGTACAGTACCAGTAAATCATTTCATAGGACATGAAATGGTTTGGTCATCCGATCGGAATGGAACACAGTCAGCCAGCAGCTAGAGCATTGTACATGAGAACAGCAAGCTACAAGGCAAGAGGTCGACCAAGAAAGACATGGGTGGAGGGAGTAAAAGAGACTCTGTAGAAATGCAATATGACATTAAAGCCTCTGCAGAAATGCAATATGACATTAACACAAGCTATGCAGCTAGCAAATGACAGGAAACTATATCTGATTCCTCTTTGCAATGCTTTACGGCATAAGCTGTAGGACACAAGAGGGAGAAGACTAAACTGAGTGCAGAGTCTGCTTGATTTGTCCATTAATGTTTGTCTCATGTTCATTGTCATTTCAGACTGAAGTGCCAGTCTAAACTGGGTCTGCTTGATTGATCCATTAATGTTTGTCTCATGTTCATTGTAATTTCAGACTGTAGTACCAGTCTGAATTGGGTTTGCTTGATTTGTCCATTAATGTTTGTCTTGGGTTCATTGTCATTTCAGACTGGAGTGCCAGTCTAAACTGGGTCTGCTTGATTTGTCCATTAATGCCTGTCTTATGTTTATTGTAATTTCAGACTGTAGTACCAGTCTAAACTGGGTCTGTTTGATTTGTCCATTAATGTTTGTCTTGTGTTCCCTGTAATTTCAGACTGGAGTTTAGTGGAGAGCCCAGCGCTAATAAACAATTTTATGATGACGATGATGATGACGACGATGATGCTGAGCATGAGAATGAGACAGAGGAAGAACGAAGTATGATAATTTTAATGTTCAGATTTTCTAAACCCTCATTGTGCTCGCTCACTTTTGTTTCTGTTTGCATCTTTCTCTAATTCTCTGTCTGTCTCTCTCACTGTTTGTTTTTCTTTCTTTATCCAATTTGCTCTGTATTGCTTGGTGACTCTTGTGTGTCTTTCTACCTGTCTGTATGTCTATCTGCCTGTTTGTTTCTCTCTCAGCATACATTCTCACGTTTGCTGCTTGACTAGTAGACTGGTCAGTGCATTGGCCTCCATTGATATATTTATACCTAAGCAATCTTTTGTTGTCTCACTGTTACCAGGTTGTAGCCTGTTAGGTGGTGGATTAGTTCATGTTGGGGGGGGGGGGGGGGGGGGGCAGGTTTCAGCCATACCATTTATCCCCTTCTCTGTCCTTTCCCTACCTTCCCCTAGATGTTCTGCTGTAAAATATTTCATATGAATTTGAGTCTGGCTTCATTGTGAATTCTCACTAGAGGGCAAAACCAGTTCATTCTTTGTCTGTCCGTATAATTCAGACATAATTTTATTCCAGGGTTATCTCTAATGCTGGTGTTTATCTGTTTTCCCTCCTAGTGTCCTATTTCTTCTTCTTCTTCTGCCTTTTTATCCCCCAATGGAGCATAGGCCCTCAACCAACTCACGCCAAGTCGTTCTATCCTTCGCCATTACATGGAGCTCTCTCCGTGTCCTCCCAATCTTTCTAACCTCATTCTCCAGCTCTCTTCTCCATGTGTTTTTTGGCCTTCCTTTATTCCTATGCCCCTGTGGGTTCCAATGCAAAGACATTCTAGTTATGCTGTTCTCCTGTTTTCTCAGTGTGTGCCCTATCCAACGCCAGCGTCTTTTCCTCACCTCCTGATCCACTGGAGCCTGTTTAGTTCTCTCCCAAAGTTCTACATTAGTTATTCTATCATACCATTTTATTCCCTCTATTCTGCGCAGGCACCAGTTAATGAATGTCTGTAATTTATTAGTAATTGCCTTCGTTGTTCACAATAGTACTGATTTGACATTAGAATTAAAAATTTTTAGTTTAGCATTTCTTTTAATTTCTTTTGACCTCCACAAATTCCCTAGTGCTATGAAAGCCCCTCTTGCCTTTTGTATTCTTATTTTAATATCTCTATCAGTTCCTCCATCTTTATCTACATTACTGCCCAAATAGGTGTACGACTCCACGTCTTGGAGTGGGGTGCCATTAAGAGAAACCAGTGTCCTATTCACCATAAGTAAAATAAAGGACCCGTTTCCACACCATCAGGGGTATAGGGCCAGGCCTATATTTTATAGACCAATCGGCACTTGGTGGTTGATGTCGTCAGCATCACATCGCTATATTTACTTCCCAGGACTTATACTTGATACCCACTCAAGGCTGGGTCAACTTGGGAGCCAAGGGCATCTTCTATTCACTGAACCTAAATAAATAAATAAGTAAAACCAGTTTAAATTATAAGGGGAAAATTAATTAAGTAAAGACTTCATTTACCAAAAGCATAATTTAACTGGCATGATTTTCTTGTGTATCATTAGAACGACGGAAAGCATTCCTGCTCAAGCGAAAGATGCATTACAATGAATTTGCTGCCGTTCAGTTGGCAAAGAAGTTGATGGCCGAGGATGAAGATGAAGACGATGATGCCGGTGACGACAGCAAAAAGCAAAAGTCAGAGTCAATTCCAGCTGTTGTATCAGAGGCGTCTGAGAATCTGAGTGAGCAGGTTGGCTCAGCTGCAGATGATGAAACCTCCACAGAGTTACCGACGTCAGGCGGCGAGGGCTTAGAGTAATCTGGCAAGACCTAGTCATCTCCACTGGATCGTCAAGCTAATCGAGAATTGTAGCTCAAAGAAATCCTAACTGGCACGAACAAACACCCGTGGCACATGGCAACATCTGCATCTTCAGAAACAGCCGTGCGTACGTTGGAACACAGGTTTACCGTCATGCAGATTGTACATAGCCACTCGTACAGAGATGGATGCATAAATGTGATATGCCACATTGGGTAGAACTTTTAACATTAATTCATATTTGATTTCTTGCACTGTGTCAACTTGATATCTTGATGTAGAACTTCTAAAAAAAAAGAATATATGTATATGTGTTATTTCTGTATACAGTTATTTCGTGTTTATCGTTGTCTCAGTTGATCGTAGGCAACCCTTGAGATTGTTGTTGTTGTAGCATCAGCAGTATCTAAAGATTGTGATTGTAGTTATGATTGTATTAGATGAGACTTTAAAATCATGACAGTTTTGGATGATGATTTAATTATCAGTTACCATGGTATCGTTACATTTGACACAGAAACTGACTTTATTAGGTTTAGATAAATTAATTATTCATTCATTGGTGGATTCGAATGGTAGCATTTATGTTAGGTGAGGATTTATATTTTAATTTAACTATAATTATAGTAATCTTTTTATTTGGCTGAATTATGGTAAAATTAACTTTAGAGGAATTATACTGACCATATAAATTAGATTGTAGTTGATCAGGATAAAATTATGTTATTAAACATATTACTAAAATGACAGTTATAGTTAATTTGAAATTACATATTTTCATTGCATTTTAACAAGATAAAAACATGTTTTTTTGTTTTTTTTTTTAGATGACATCATACTAATTTAAAAGTTATAATTATATTTCATTGTGATAAAGGTATAGTTATAATAACTGAAAGTTAAGTGATTATAAATATTAAGATTACAGCAATAATTATTGTTTAGGTAGTTTTAATTATGATTGCATTCCATCTTGGTATGTTTTCATTAAATACAGTAGACTGCAGTATCGGGCCTAATGTGGCGGGAGGGTAGTAGACTGCAGTATCGGGCCTAATGTGGCGGGAGGGTAGTAGACTGCAGTATCGGGCCTAATGTGGTGGGTAGGTAGTAGACTGCAGAATCGGGCCTAATGTGGCGGGAGGGTAGTAGACTGCAGTATCGGGCCTAATGTAGCGGGAGGGTAGTAGACTGCAGTATCGGGCCTAATGTAGCGGGAGGGTAGTAGACTGCAGTATCAGGCCTAATGTGGTGGGTAGGTAGTAGACTGCAGTATCAGGCCTAATGTGGCGGGAGGGTAGGCAGGATAACACAAAAAAAAATTAAAGCTATGCCTGAGATTTATAAATACTCTGTTTCTACTCCAACTGTATAACTCAAAACACCCTTTTTATAACCAAACCTACTCTTATTAATATTTTTTTGGCCTCTTAGTACAGGCCAGTCCTTTATCAATATTGCTTGTGTTTTGTACTAAATGGTTCAAACTTTTATTATGGAAAAAGGAAGCCCAAAAGTTCACATTTTAATGTTATATTTATAATGTCTGACTTAACTGTAGGAACATTAAAATCATGCTCGTAACATCTTTACAAAGTAAATTATTGTTTATTTCATGGCCGAGATTTATTTAAAAAAAAATCTAGTTGGATAATCAGGAGTCAGAAAACATTGGCTGGAAATAAATTGTGTATATGTGCAATAGATAAAAGAGGTTAAAAAAGCTGGGTGAATTCCATGTCAGAAATCAAGAGTTGCATGATGTAGAGCCGAGTGGGGGAATCGAATGCGAGCCCTGTGTGATGTCTAAAGGCACGCAATGGATGATGATGAATAGATTAAATGATTTGGTCATGTGATAAGAATGCCGTGGTACCAGCTGCCACAGAGAACCACATGAAATCAGATGAACACGGACCAAGGAGAAGACCATACAGTGGATGAAATGGTGACATAAAGAACACAAATAAAAATGTATGACTGTTTTGACTAAAACCCAACACCATATTTGTGTTTGATGATAATATTGATGAAAGTATTTTAGGTAAGATGAACTTATTATACTGGATAAAAACAAATTAAATGATTAATTTGGAGATTGGCACAATTATGGATTTAGTAATACTACAATTACGATTACATTCTGTAAAAGTAAAGTATGATGTTTTTGTTCTTGCCTTTAATCTCCTCATTTGGATATGTATTCCCACAACCATCTCTGACCAACTCTTCCTTTGCTGTTATTTGCAGCTCCTTTCTTATGCTCCTCATCTATTTATGTATTTAAGTCATTATCTTTGCCTGCTTTTTAAAAAAAAAATGTTTTTTTTTTTTTGGGGGGGGGGGGGGGGGCAGCTTAGGTGTTGCGAACGAGCTTCATGGTGCCAGGTTCGATCCCAGCTGCGGGCCTTGGATTGGTTTCGACAGTAGTATCAAGAAGCCGACCGTCCCAAAAGCAGTGGGAAACTACTGGGCGTATATTTGCCTAGAGAAACCACAACAGCCGAAAAATGCTGGGGTTGGTTCTGCAACGTCCTGTAAAGAATAGGCAACTAACTTAATTCTTTTTGTCCTGTGGGCTCCAGAAAAAGGATTTTCTAATTGTACTGTTCATAGGTTTTCTGAATCTGTGTCCTAGCCAGTGCCATCATATTTTCCTCAGCTCCTGATTAACTTCAAGTTTTTTTTTTTTTTTCACTACGAGCTCCACATTTGTGATTCTTCTTCTTCTGTATTCATCAGAAGATGTAAATGCATTGTGCCCATTTACAACATGGCTGCAATATTTGTGCCTTTCGGCCGACACATCAGACTTCTGCAGGCATTTGTTGTCTGGGTTAGCCTTTTCCAGATTTGTGATTCCATTGTAGAATTTCAGTTCCTCTGATCAACATGAAAAATCCTTGCTAGTTATCCTGTTTTTCTTTTTTGTTGAGCATGTCCCAGTTAATCCCTTTATGTGTGGCCACATTTCGACAATGCCTGTGCAATATTAGTAGCTGAGAATAAATTGATTATTATGGTAAATTTAAAAGCTTTAATAAGACAGTGCACATTTGGATGCATGTCCTGGGGAAGTAAAGATGCCCAGTGTAATGCTGACCACATTACCCACCCAGTGCCAAGTAGTCTGTAAAATATGGGTGGTCTTTCCATATGCTCGATGCGCCTAAAGGCGTGAAAAGGGATCTTTTACATTGCCTATTTGTTTGATATCCTTATCATTCTGTTGATCTTCTCTTCCTTCATACCACATCATTACTCGTAACTATGATTACTTCTAAGACATAGGATACGGTAGGCCAAAGGGTCTCTGTCAGAGAATTGGATGGCAAAAAAGAGCTCTGCAGTTCAAAGGGGAAACCTCTGCATTGACCTTTCGGTACCAGACATCATCATCATCAGCGCTGTATTCTCCAAGGGAGTGTAGGCCCTCAGCAGATGGACCTAGTTGTCCTATCCTTTGCTGTTGCATGCTGCACACTCCATGTGTTAAACAAGCCTCCGCCCACTCATCTTGGTTTTCCTGTTTCTCTTTTTAGACTTGTTTATAGTTTCCTGGTTTTTGTGGGGATTTTGTTGATGTTGCGGAATGAGGTAGCCAAACCCAATTCTAGCACTACACTTGGTTACCTTTTACGACACATGGGTACATTTACAGCCTGTAATATATTCCGGGGTTATTCTTAAGATAACATGGTGCTCTTGCTTCTTCTTCTATCTTAGACATTTGTTATGTTGAAACTTTGTGTCTGAATGTTTTGTTTCTGAGAACGCTAACCCAGGCACACACACAAGAAATACCTTTAGAAGTCAGATGTATTGGCCGAAAGACGCAAATATCTCAGCGAAGTTGTAAACGGGTGCAGTGAATTTACGTTTTCTGATAAATGAAGCAGAAGAAGAATTATTAGTTTAATTACTTATGTTCCATGGAAGCTGCCATGGTGTAGCAGGTATATGCTTGCCTGCAGATCTAAAGCTTGTGGGTTCGGATCCTGACGGAACCAGTGAATTTTTTTGGGTTTTAATAAATTGTCCTTGGCTGCCAGGTCATCACAGCCTCAAATGGCTACCTGGGAAGTAAACGTATGTGGCGTGATTTTGACCTCATCACCCACCTAGTGCCGATTAGTCTTTAAAATATAGGTCTGGCCCTATATGCCGAATACAGCTGAAGGCGTTGAAAAGGGTCCTTTAGTTTACATTTTATTTTTGTTCCAAGTCCTTCATACGTAAATATTAATCACTTTTTTTTTATCTCAGAGAAAAGGGGTTAAGATAATAAACAGCTTAGGGCTGAAAAGTTGTGTCTATTGATCTATAAAATAATTATTCAGCGCAGTATGTCCGATGCACCATTGTTGTTAAAGGGATCCTAATATTACCAACAGACCCTTGGATGTAGCCTAAACTAACGTCTCCGCCACCAGGTTTAAAAAAAAAATTTTAATTTAAAAAAAAAACAGTACAGAACAAGTGATGAATATATAATCTTTTCAATTCTGTCACTGCAGTTTGTGTTGTGAGATGCTGCAATTGTTTCATACCGTAGTCTGGTTGCAGTTAGAGTTTGATGATTGGGTGGCATCAAAAAGTCCTTTGCTAATAGACTTTGGGATTAGGGCCAAACTGTCTAGGATTATATATTGGATTATGTGCAAACTTATATTAATTAGGTCCAAACTTGTCTGGAATTAGGCCCAAACTGTCTTAGATTAAGTCTGGGTTGAACAGGGAAGGCTAACCTGGTAAATAAATGCCCCATGAAGTCAGATGTGTTGACGAAAAGACACACATTTTGCAGCTGTGCTGTCGACAGGCAGACAAACTATGAAGAGGAAACAGGCCTAGGCTAGCAGTTTCCATCTGATGCTCAGTGGAGCACTGAGGGCTCTGCATGCAGTTCCCAGGGGCTCCGTGGCTGTTGGGGACAGTGTGGTGAAATTAAAGATTAAGAAACAAAAAGCAGAAGACAATTTAGCAATCTAAAAATT